AACTGCGGAGGGATGCTGCCTGTTACTCCCATGTTTGCAAGATTCAACTCTGCAACTCTGTGGTGGCGCGAATTGCAGGTGACTCCAATCCAGCTGCATACCGAGGCATTGATGGTCCAGTTTTTCACTGTTAATTGTTTGGGATCTATAGTGATAGTCTTCTTTAAAGAAAGAAGAGCAGATTGGTCAGCATTTAAGCCTGCAATTGTTCTGGTTAAGAAAGCCAAGTTATATGACATCAGTACAATTGCAAAAGAAATCAGAAAGTAGATTCTTTCCATGGTGTTGGTGACAATATAATTTTGGATTGTTATAGTCTATTATGTGATATGCAGCCCCTTTGAGTTCCTAAAAATAAGAAGCTCCCCATCTTTCACCCCAATCGTACGAATCTTTGTAGTCTCACTTTAGTATACGTATTTTGTGGATAATTTGAGTATTCTGTATTGTGTACTCTTTTGTTATTTGGTATAAGTCTTACCCCGTGTTTTACTCTCGTTAAAACAAATTTTTTTATTTCTCATACTCATTTCAACCACACACTCAAACAATAAAATATTCTATATGTAAATTTAAAATTTTTCCCTACTTTTTAACCACACAATCTCCAAAAAATCAATATTCAAAACATTATTTTCCCGAATTTCTCTTTATAATGTTCATCAAACAGGGGCCTAGGTTGATGTCGTGTACTCATTTTTTATTCACTTTACTTGCGTTTTCTTGGTAGCTCTTGTTTCAGTCCATAGAAGTAGGCCATGTGTTGAACCACATAAATTCTATTTGTTCGGTGTCTTTTTTCTACTTTGCCTGAATAGGAATTGGTGCTTATGCACAACCCAAAGAATATTTTCAAGACGTGAAATTGCTCCAAGTTCAACCCACGAAAGTGTTAGATAATTGCCTCAAAAGTCAAAAGTTGGGAAGACTCCTAGTACAAATAATAAAAGGTGTTTATTATACAGAAGACTCCTAATTGAAGTTGAGTGCAGAATCTTGTTAGAATTTGATCTCCAATTTAT